CTATAATTTCAACAAAAAATAGTAACAGAAAAAAATTGAGTAACCCCCATTTTTTAAATACGATTTCACATACCTCTCCTATGCAATTGCATATTACTACATCATTTTAAAATAATTGTCTCTTCATTTAATATATAAAGAGTTTTGCACACAATATAATTCTAAATATAGACATATATCAAAATGTAAAAATCTTCTAAGAATGTGCCTGGAGCTCATAGAATTCTTTACTTTTAGATTTTAATATAAATCTGAAAGAGATGACTGAATTGATAAAGATTAGTTTCATCAAAATTACACTCATTTGTTTGGTAATTTTTTTTTCCTTCAGGAAAAAAATTAAAAGCAGAATCCATATGCAAACTGTTTCTACCACATTTGGGCCATGTATTCAAATCTGTTCCAAAGGATCTTCCAACTTCTTAGAGCAGAGTATGAGGGTCCATGAAGGAGCTGGAGAGAGAAACAGAACCAGTGGAAGTTTAGTTGCAGACAAAGACATTCAGCTAATTGTACAGCTATTATGCTATATTAAAGGTGGAAGAAATTCTGAAGTAATTTGTCCTGGTCTAATCTGTTTACATATTAAAAATCTGGCATTTTGACAAGGGCGTGTGGACTTTCTACATCTCTCTGTCTATATCTTTATCTATATCTATCCATCTATCTATCTATCTATCTATCTATCTATCTATCTATCTATCTATCTATCTATCTATCTATCTATCTTCTATCATTGTGTGTGTGTCTATCTAATTTATCTTCTATCTATCACCTTCCTCCTTCTTCTAGCCCAATGCTTGGGAGAAGAACCAGGTCTTCACAGCCCACCAGAAGCCGAAACAGGGAGGAAATCTCCTGATCTCCAGTGAGGGCTGTTTGGAAGGACTGCGGAGGCCATCAATAAGGTATGGCTCTAAGATCCATCAGGTGGTAAGTTTAAGGGAGGGGACCTGAAGTGCATTCATTCTAGCTAACCTAGGATGGGCAGATACTCCCAGGGAAAGGCAGTCCTGCAAGCAACATGTAGGGTTTTACAGATGATAACACAGTACCTTGCAGCTGGAAAGAAACTGGAAGTCACTGCAGATCACATAGGAGTGGAGTTACTCAGATGAACAGTGGGGCATCCAAAAGGTACAAGTGCTGCTGCATTCTGGATTAGCTGCAGTTTCCAGGTGTCTTCAAGGAGAATCCCTTACTACAGGTAATCCTCAATTTACATCAGTTCATTTAGTGACCATTCAAAGATACAACGGCACTGAAAAAAATGAAATGACCATTTTCCACTCTTATGACTATTGTAGCATCCCCATGGTCATGTGATCAAAATCCAGGAGCTAAGCAACTGATTCATATTTATGAAGGTTGCAGTATCCCGAGGAGATTCACCACACTGAGTTTACTGTTGTATAAAGTTATTTTTATACTGTCTGTCAGCAGTCATTGTCAGGGAGAGAGCAAAACATGCAAGGCGTCTTGGAGCGGAATTGTGATGGAAGCTCTGCCTCATCTAAGCTTACATAGGATGTCATGGGATTTACACAAAGGGTGGGCTCAGTTTGCCATTTTCACACACACACACACACACACACACACACACACACACACACACACACATCTTCCTGGATGCTGCTGTTACTTATGTATCTGTATGTTGCAATTCTTCTAATGCTAGTAATGAAGTGGCTTAATAGTTCAGAAGAAGCTGAATATTTTTCTTTCTGGGTGATCTTTTTGGGGAAAAGAGGTAGAAATCCCATGTTGGAGGGATCTTGCATTTCTTAGAGCCAAAGAAAGTTTCTATGTAAAAAGAAAAATCCTACAGGGATTTGGTTATGTTTGTGGCATACTGACTAAAAAATCAAAACTTACAAAGTTTACATAAGCAAGGAATGATGCATGTTGTATTATGGATACAAGACTGTAATGTAATCTACACTTTTGCTATGTTACTAAAAAGTGTTATATGAAAAACTTGATTGTTCAAAGCCATGATGGACAGTGGAAAGCAGTATCTATGGCTCCAATTATTGCTTATTTAATAAGTATATTGACAAATGTATAAGGAATGCATTTAAATGATGTAAGGAGTATGTTGCTTGAAGAAGGCAGGTGTGCATTTTATATGTTGATCATACCACATTGTTGGCTGAGAATCCAAATAATTACCAGTGAATATAAATAAACCGTTCATAAATTTATCTGTGCAATAAGAGCCTTTGCTTATTCAATACAAGCTCTTTTTTTAAAAAAATGAACATTTTTCCTCACTTTCTAGCCATTATATGGACTGAAAATAATTATACTGATTTTGCTGAAAAATCATTTTAGTTTAGATTAGGGTTTCATGATGCAGATCTAGGCACTTTTATATATAATTAAACAGAAAATTATAGCTCTACATCTAGGTATTTCCTCCCATTCCATGATTTCTAATATCTGATACATCTCTATCCTAATATGAGTGCACAAGATTTGCACCTGCCCTTCCCACATGGGTCTGAATATTATGAATGAAAATGATAGCTGTATCAGTAACAATTCTTGGTTTTTATAATGCTTAGTTCTAAATTTATTAGGTGTGTATGTAAATACAGTTCAACCAAGGTAAATATATATTGGATTAGATAGGCTTAAGGCACAAATTTGCATGGAAGTAAAGTAGGTTGCATAAAATTAGTATGTTCATACATGCATCCAATATTCTATTACCTCTCAGTGTAAGAAATGTAAAAAGCACAGAAAAAAATAAATAATAAATAATAAAATAAAATAAATAAAGGTTAAGAAAAAGTCTGTTAAGAAAAGAAAATATAGCCAAACCTGGTTTATACTAATACCATGTATTATATCTCCAAACCATTCTTACTTCCATACACATGTATTAACCACTTTATAGATTGCCTTTTGTTCTCTAAACTTCTCACTTTTTGTTGAATCTCATCTTTAGCTTCAACATAATCTGTGATTACCTATATTTTCCCTTTTAGCCCACTACTCACTCTTCATTTATTTGCTTTGCAGTTTGATCATCATCCTTTCCTTCTACCTAACAAGCCATCTTCACAAACTTCTTTCATACATTCATACTTTTGTGTACAATCCACATTCATCCATTATCCCCACTCTTATTTAACCACACACTTCTTAAACAATCCATTTTAACTACATTCAGCTTTCTTTTATGCTTGCCAAATATACTAAGATTCAATTTCCATACAATGTAACAGTATTTTTCAACCTTAGTAGCTTTAAGAATTCCTGTAGGCCAACTGGGATAGGAGTTCAAATAACTTAAGAGTTGCCGAGATTGAGAAATATTTATGTACTAAAATGTTTAGTACACATTCTTATTCATAGCCATTATCCATTCCTTCATTAAACATTTTTCTTTGTACCAAACATATTATCCACTATCTCTACTATCATTTGCATGTCTTCTCTCCATTTTTTGTACATATTGTACAGAGATATACCAATTCATTTACTTCACATTTATGTTTAACTTGCCATCAATCTTTCCATCTTCCTTGTCAAACACAATTATCTTGGGCTTTGTTATCTTAATTTTCAGATCCATAGTCCTTGACATATCAGACAATACATCTAACATTCATCGCAAAAGCATTCAGGTTTTCAGCCAAGCATTCAACATTGCTTGCACACAAGAGTACACAATTATTCACACACCCAGCCAACAACTAATATCATGACAAGTATTCCTTACACATTTACCTCTAAGTATAACCACCATAACATCCTTGTCTTACTCTCTGTTCATGCTGAATTATTAAGATGCCTTTATTATTATGCATGTTTTACTTCCAACATTATGTCGCATTTAGCATCCATCAACAGCTTTAATTCCTTATTCATGCAAAATATTTCTGAATTCCGCTGTATTCATTTTATCATATACTTTCTCAAAATCAACAAACATGCACTAAACTTTCTCATGCTAAGACATTTGTCAAAAACACATTTACTAATTTGTCTGTATATAGTCTTTATTTTCATAATTACTCTCTTTCCCTTTGTATAGTGAAACAATTAGCATTTTCTAGTTGTCAGGCAAGACAGAATCTTCACACACCACACTGGATAAGTGACACAGTAGTTCCACAAAGCAAAATGCATCCATATTTTAAGTTTTCACCAGTTAGCAGTATATTGCTTAAGAATGTTGAAAACTATTCCTGGGTCAAAATTGCAAGTATAGTTCAATCTTGATCACTAAAGTGAATAGGTTCATTGGCACTTAGCATTTTATTTACTGTGGAAAATCAAAACAGTAGAAAATCCCAGTATTCCCAGTAGAAAATCTTTAACATTTGTTTTTCCCCTGCCCTTCTGATCTATTCCAGCATATTCCAAAAGAAAGCATTCATATCCTACAGGTATATTTCTGCACAAAATATATCTGATATCCACTTTCAGATTTATAAAGACCTGTCCTATGATAATCTGATTATAATGTCTTATATTCAATTCATGGTAATTTGGATTACTGGGCTACCAATCTTTTCTGAATAAAATTAGTTGTTTCCAATTAAAGCTCTGCATATGACATTTTTGAATACTGATGCACAGACTTTAAAATGTTATCTGGTTGAAATGCTCGATTTTAGGTGTTCTTAATAAAAGCAGAAGAGAGTTTGACCTTTCTACTTCTCCATTTGAAATAAAACTACTAAAAGACGCTCAACATTTCCTTTAAATAGTGTCTCTCTGTTCCTAACCTTATTGGGTTCATTTTCAAACTGACCTCTCCATGATACTTACAATGAAGGAGTAAGGCACCAAATTTCCATACATTCATTTGTTGGTGTTCCATTTATAATAATAAATTTATAAATGTATATCCTACCTTTTCCTTGAATCTCCTGAATGTTCCAAAGTGTCTCACATTAAATTTATCAGTAAAAAGTTAGCCATGCAGGACTATATGATATTTATACAATGAAAATCAGTGATGAATGCAGTATCACATCAGTCAATTCACAGATAAAATATTTATTAAGAACTGGAAAAATGAAAAGGTCTTTTTCCATTTTGGAAAAAGAATCCAAAGTACAACCCAAGAAATGAGTCTCCATGGGAATAAGTTAGATGCCAAGGAACTCTTCCTGGTTATTAACTGAGTAAGCCACTTACAAAGTGACTTCTTACAACTATAATCGGTTCTACTAGCTTGTTCTCCTCTCCCTATAGACAATATGGCAGTGACAGCAGAGCCTGCACATCCAGTTCAAATTCTTGCAAGATACAGCAAGAGTAGATATAATTAGCAGTGACTCCTTGAACATTTCTCCAGGCAACACAACACTGTTCACACAGCTTGGTCTCAGCTGCAGTACCAAGGAAGGGGGAGGAGAGAAACTATACAATCAAGTAAGTGGTGGCCTTCACACAGCACAGTCACTTACAGCAGTCCATTTTTCAATAATCTAGCTGGATCACTGCAAGAAATATGCACTGTCGTTTCTCATCGTTTTATCTCTTCTATTTTAAGGAATAATCTAGATGGTGGGGAGGAGAGATTTCTGATCAATGTTGCCAAGGGCATCTCCAAGAAAAGAACCGTTCTAATTCATCAAATGGTGTCAAAAAAAAAAAAAAACACAACTGCCTTCAAACAAAAAACATAACTTCCATGTTTACATATGTAACCCGTACAACATTTGCTACCATTTATTATATTCAAAAGAATATCTCCTTTTCGTCCCCCCACTGGATTTCTTCTCCAAATATTCTAATATTATCTTTTCAGCCTCCTTATGGTTGTCTCAATTCGGCTGGCTTAAAATCTTACTGAGAAGCTATGGTCTCTGCTTTGCTGGGTCCCAGGGAACGTTCAGAGTTGGTGCGGGTGGCAGAGGCTTCTGGATCGCCTTCTACAACCACAGCACCATCTTTTGTAGGCTGGGATCTCTTGGAAGAGCAGTTCTTGAAGCAGGTCTGAAAGACCTGGAGCGAGACCATGACCATAATCGAAAGAGCCACCACCCCCACCGTGATCAGGATGAAGATATAGTTGAAGGCATTTGCAGAAGCCTGAGTGGGAAACGGTTCCAGAAACGATGCATTTTGACCAGGTCCGCTGGTGCTGTTGGCAGGGAAAGTTCCCGTAGCTCTCGTAGTAGATACGCTGGGTTGCGCCGTCGTTGCGGCGACGCAACTCTTTTCGTCGGCCGCCAAGCGGGATCTCCAAGAGCATAAACAACGGAACGCGCCTAGGGCACTAAAGCAGTCCTTGAATTCCGCACAGTCTCCGCTGCTCGGGCTCCAGTAGCCGCTGGGACAGGAGCAGAGGTCCTGCTCGGTGCCTTCCCAATGGAAGCCGCTGGGCGACAGGAGGCAAGTGAAACGCGCCTCTCGCCCGGGGCACCTTATAGTAAGATTGGTCCCCGGAGGGCTGGATTCTATGTCCGGGCTTTGAAGCTGAAAAGGCAGCCTGTAGTAGACCATTCCGCGGGCGCCAGAAGCCGAGGGGAGGGCGGGGCACGTGCCCGCATAGCTGTATTTACAGACATAACCCGGGCTTGCCTTGAAGCAGTCGTGGTCCTTCAGGCCCCACGGGTGGAGGTGCGGTTGGGCCAAACTGACTTGCAACCCGGCGCACCTCTGCTTCGTGCAGGATTTGTTCGGTTCTCTGAGCCACTTGGGCGGCGTGGCGGTCCCGTTGGCCCCGGGTTCCTCAAGCCCCGGGGAAACCCAGGAGAACCCCCTGAGCGGCTGGTCTTCAAGGGTGCACTGCTGGACTTTCTTCACCAGGCCCAACCAAAACAAAGAGCCGCCCGTCTCGTTGGCGAGTCCTTTCAGCAGAGAGAGGATGACTCCGACTTCGGTGCGGCTGCTGGCCGTGCTCAGAGCTCCCCCGTGCTGGGCGCATGTTTTCTGAGCCTGGTAAAACTTCATGCTGCCTAAGTGGACGCTGTAGCAGGCCCCGGATGCGTGGCACCAAGTGCGGTCGCTCTGGGGGAGCTCGGCAGAGCCCCAGAGCCCCGAGAAAGGTGGCAAGAGGGCGAGCGAGGCAAAGATCAGCCCTCGCATCTTGGCTCTTGGAGCGGAAACCTGGATTGAAGGAATGCTGTGTGGAGGGAACTCCTTTAACTGACAGTTCACAACCGTATCTGGGCTCCCAGAGCTTTCCCTTCTAATGGCAGGAAGGAAATGTGTCAGGAGTTGGGCCTAACCTTCACATCCTTGGTTTACTGAAGGGCCTCTTTTCCAGCCCAGGGAAAGTCTGATAAGATCAGCCTGGAGAGGCTTTTCTTTCTTCTCTTGGCAGGGGCTGGAAAAATGGCCGTATTAAAAAGAGATTGAAAAGAAAAACCAGTAAAGAACAGTATTCTTTGGCTAAACTCTTGATACTCTTAATACTCTTGAATTATTTCATCCATCCATATTAATAAAGATAATCAGCTGCCTAAACGAGTCTCTTTAGCTTTAAATACAGATAGTCCTCAATTTACAACAGTTGGTTTAGTGGCTGTTCAAAGTTCAACGGCACTGAAAAAAAGTGACTTATGACCAGTTTTCACACTTCTGACCATAGTAGCATCCCCATGGTCATATGATCAAAATTTAGATGCTTGGCAGTTGACTTATGACAGTGGAAGAGTCCTAGGGTCATGTGATCTCCTTTTGTGACAAGCAAAGTCAGTAGGGAAGTCAGATTCACTTAACAGTTTGACCAATTTAACAACTATCGCGATTCACTTAACTGTGGGAAGAAGGAGGCAAACTTACTTAACAAATGTTTCACTTAGAAACAGAATTTTTGGACCCAATTGTGGCCATAAGTCAAGAATTATTTGACCTTTGCCTGTTCCAGACAAGGCCAGTTGATCTCCCTCATCCCATAATACAGTAATTCTTCCAGTTTTGTTTTGTCTAGGTATATGTCAGTTGTCCGTTTTGTTAAACTTTAAGAGCAGTATCAAGTCATTAATTTATAATGTTGGAATCAGAAGTCTGGATTAGGACTAATTATATGTGAAGCCATTGGATGGTTTTAATTAATTCTGAGAAAGGAAAAGCATATTTCTGTGTCTTGAGGGAAGGAGCTGGATAATATATAAAGCCCAAAGTCACTGATTAAGGTCATTCTCCCATTAGAGGCTTGTAACATTTTCATTGCTGTAATTTTGTCTGTGTCAATTTTGTCTTGAAGTCACAACTGGGGAAATAATGTAAAATTAGCACCATTAAAAAACACTACTACAATTGAGTCTGATACACTTCAAAACTGATGTAGTTTCCAGATTTATTTTTACAAATATTTAGAAACTGTGAAGATCTTATATCAGCCACTGAGTATAAGTAGTCCTTATTTAGCAACTGGCTTGTTTAATGGCTGTTTGCAGTTACGACAGTGATGAAAAAATAACTTTGCAACCAAAGTCCTCACATTTACAAACTTCACAGGTGCATAAAGCAAAGAAAAGCTAAAGCAAGATCATAAACACAGTTGTGATTTCACTTAGCTGCTTCTTTGCTTAATGACTTAGTTGCTGGTCCCAATTATGGTTGCTAAATAAGGACAACCGATGTGTGACTAGAACGTCAGTATGTCATTCTCTTGCAGCTGCCATATTCTATAGCAGTTTTGATCAACTTTAGCTAGATGTGTGGATTTCAACATCCAGAATTCCCCATACAAATACTTGTATTGTCTTTACGCTATACGCCAGCTTTTTTTGCCTAAAAATGAATATGGAAATAAATACATTTATGCAATGCTTAAGTTTGTTTTTGCTGCAACAGATATTATAGACATTCCTCCAGTAACTAGGTCTTGATAGTTCAGCTTTTAAAAAAATGGCTACTGAATAAAATTCTTAAATATTTTTTTTAAACTGTATCTCAGAAGTTGAATGTTCTACAAATTAATGAAGATTTTTACTAATTAAGAATTAATTAGTATTAAGTATTAATTTATAATCCTATCCTTCCCTACTTTGTCCCAGTTTGGTGTTTGTCTTGAAAGTAAAAAAAATGTTGGGAAATCTATTTATTTCTTACGCTCTGTATCCTGTTAATTCCCACTGCCTGATATAATATGCCAGATTTATCCATTTTGTAATGCTGTGCCCAAAATGGAAGCAGGTCTTTAATTTTAAGCCCCAGTATTAACACAAAGTGAATTAATGTCACTGTAATTCATCAGCCTGACTTCCTTGAAATTAGTGGAAATAGTTACAGCTGTGCTGCTCCTAGTGGAATCAGCATTTTATTAAGTGATTGTAATCTTGAGCTTCTACACATAATGTGGAAAGTTTCAGATCCCATACAAATTAGGACCAATCTAGAGTGCTAGAACTGATGCCTCATATATTATGAAAATACTTTTCTTCTTGGTAATGTGCCATCAAATCTGCTAAATAGATTTCCAAGACCAAATCATTGTATAATAATAATAATAACAACAACAAATAATGATGATGATGATAATAATAATAATAATAATAGTAGTAGTAGTAGTAATAGTAATAAAAATAATTCATTGCAATTGCCTTGCTGAAACAAATCCGGCTCAATATAGTACAGCATTTTTAGTTTAAAAATGTTCTTTTATGCATTCATAGGTTCTATTTAGCCTTGACTTACATAGAAATATAAAAGTTCCATTTAATTTTCGTAGCAAATAAATCTACGCTACTTAAATTTGTCAGTTCATTTTTAACGTTAACCCAGCAAGCATTTTGTATTTATGTTTTGTAAAAAAAAAAGCACCTGTAGACCTTGCTCACACACTGCATTAAATGATAGTTTATTTATCCATGGTTTAATGAATCAGCTTCAATTGGCTGTATTATGTAACACTGAACGGTATACCATGCTTTAAGAACAGTTTTTATCCAAGTGCAGTTTTGAGTTTGAATGCAGGGTCATAAGATTTTGTGGAATTTAATGGCTGAGAGTAATGGGGTATTTACATTTTTAAATTGTATAGAGATTATTGTATGGTCTGTTGTGTTTAATTTTATTTTTCTTTCAATAGTGTTGTCCAGTTTTACTTGTGGAAGAGCACCTCATTTCGTTGCACCCGCTTGCGAGTGTAATGACAAATAAAATTCTTATGTCTTATGTCTTATCTTACAAGCTGTAGCAGTTAGGTTCATGCTGTTCACTAAGCAAAAATCAATCAAACCCATACTTTGATGTGATTTGTGAATCTAGCCATTGTATTGTAAAATAAGAGAGCCACTTTTCCATAGTATTTACAATTTTATACACGCCCCTAATGTTCTTTTAGATACTTGTTTTATTAACTGAACATCCAATTATTCTTTGTGAGAAAGTGTACCAATATTTTGTTAGATACAAGGATATAAGTCATTATGAAGTTCTGATTTTCATAGCCAAGATCACATTTTTCTTCAAAACATGTTACCTTTTCTCAGCCCGTTGTAATACTTTCCCACTAGGGAAATATAGTTTTCCCTTCAGTTGTGACTGATAATTAGAATGGAATTGTTTCTGTATCATGCATATATTTTGGTAGTGAAAAAGTAAAAACACTCTCCTGCCAATATTAATTTTATTTTTGTGTTATTTGTTTTGGAGTTTTATTTGTTTGGGGGAAATTGAAGTCTCCCTGCTACACCATACAGATATAGGAGTTTTCACAAAATTCAATCAAAAAGAAAGAAATGTAGTATAGCAGCAGCAATCTATATATATATGCCAACTACCACTCACTCATCACGAAATCTCCAGAACGGTAAAGTCTACAAACTTCTAGGTGCTTGCTAAGAAAGGATTTTTTAAAATGACCATCAGATCATTCGTATTTCTTATACAGTAATTAACACACTCTGATGCTAAGGAGTTCTACTCCCCCTTCCCACCTGAAAAGAACTCTGTTCCAACTGCCAGTTGTCTCACATTCCGTTACCTCAGTTCAAACTGACTAATGTTCCACTCCTTGACTCAGGAGTGGTCTAGGGCTCCTTACAGTACTAGACATTGGTATCTCAGCAAAATGTCTATGCCTTCCACCTATGGAACTACTTCTGGACTCAAGGTGGGAGCGATATTCCCTTATGTGTTTCAATCACTGACCACCACTGAGCCAACGGATTGCGAACCTAATTTCTCCTGCATAGCCCAATCACAAAGTTTCATTGCGAAGCACGGGTGTCCAGCTAGTACTTTGATAATTCACAGAGATTATTTTTATTATTTTGCAAGGATACATAATTTCTCAATTGCTCAAAAATACAGCAAATCATTTAAAAATAAATAAATGCACACACAGAAATTGTGTCCTATCCTACAACCTAATTACAGTACCAGTTGATATGACCAAGGAGCATTTTGTAAAATGAGCCAATACTGCATCATTGTGACAATAACATTCAAGGAGAAAGCTAGATTTCTTTAAAATCTATAAAAATTATGCAATATCAAGGACACAAGTTACTGAATTGACAAATGATGTAGAATGAAATATTATGATTCAACTTGGCTGCCGAAACAACAATAAATTAAAATCTCTGGAGAGTTGCGGAACATTTGTGGTGGCCAGATTTCCTGAGGAAAGTATTACAATAACAGGAAGTCTTGAGCCTAGCTATAAAGAGGTGACTTCAGTTCCTGGCATTTTGCCTAGGCTGACCCTTCAACTCAACATCTTAAAGGAGGAGGCAGCAGGTGCCTGCTAACAAACAGCAAATGTAAAATTAAAATACAAGGAAGGGCATTTTTTTCGTCCAAGGCCAGGAGATTATTGTGAAGTAAAACCTATTCTTCAGAGGATCATGATAACATTTCCCCACCCCATTCCAGTTTAAATCCTACTTCAATTTAGCCACTTCAAGTATCTAATGAAGCAAGCTATCATTTGTTAGTCAAATTTATTAGTCTTAAAAAATTATCCAACACAACGGATAAATTTTAAATGAGTATTCATTGGGAGAAATAACTGTCCTATCAGTTGTTCCTTGTTAAATTCTAAACCCAACCTCTGCCTTTATTCTCTGTTGCAATGGTTCCTGAGTCCTGACTTGTCATCTGAAAATGACTGGCAGTCATACGGCTATTGCGTA